TGGTCCAAATACCAGAATGACCGAAATTCAAAAAGGTATCTAAGTTATTATGTCCAAAACTTGTTTATTAGCTCCTTTTTGAGTATTTATTTCACACCCACTGTGATAGCTTTACAATATTAGGGCTAGTCTATGAAGTCTTTCTTGTCTGACAAAATAAAATGACCCCCCTTCTCTCTGTTTTAGTGTGTTTACTTTTCCACATAAGGAACAACATATGAGATGGATTTTTCTTCTGCTAACATTGTTAGTTCCAAGTCCCCTGTCTTCTAGCTAAAATTGTGTCCTCCAAGCAGAGTAATCTAGTGGATAGGAATCCAAGGTTTGCTGTTTAGACCACTCTAAGTAATAATCCTGGCTCTTTTATTAGTCCTCTAGCAACTTAGTTAACATTTCTGAATCTCTGTTTTTGCATCTTTAGAGAAATGACATCTGCATGGTAGCTCTGTTATGAAGATTACATTTGGGTGCTTAGAAAAATTCTGTAATGGTGAACGAATATAGTAAATATCAGCTATCGGTCCCTTTTCTTAACTTTATAAACCTCTCAACACAGAAAATAGCAGTTAGCATCTCTGAGATTTAAAACACATAGATTTCATACAGAATACACTCAGGTAGAATAATCACAACAATTACAGTATTAACTCTTAGTAATAATTAAGTAAATTTTAAGTAAGATCTGCCTTGTAGTACTTTTTATTCTTACTCATTTGATTCTGTACTTTTCCATTTCATATCTGGATCTGTGAAGTGAGTATGCATTGTTTACATCAGTCCTTTCTGCAAATGTAGTGGTACTATATGGTTCCACGTGTTTATAACATGCAGCCCTGATGTCAAGCCTAATTCTCTTCACTTCAAAGATAGTACTGGGAGGATGGCATGCACTCTAAGATATGTTTGTGAACAAAGCACATATGCTCTTTGTACTCTTTTCTTAAAGCCAGTATATCAAGTTCTTGGGGGGGGGGGTTGACAGGCCTTTCCAAATTAAATCCATGGGCAGTCTGCTCAAATCTGTTACTTATTGAATCATTTGTATAAATTCAAGTAGCAGGTAGATGAGAATCTCACTCAAATTCAACCCCTTCCTAAGAAAGTTTACTTTCTTGAAAAGATGGTGTCAGGACCAAATCCTAAATGTGTAACTCTTGATTCATTCTTCCATAATATATATGAATTTCTGTTTGTAGCCTACCTCCACTGTAATAGATTGTTTTATTGAAAAGTTTGGAAACTGTAGAAAAGTTGTGAAACTGCTGCTTGTAGATTGAGATGAGATTTGTCCAGCTCACCTGTCACCTGGTTGGCAAAGGAAAAGGAAGGAAGAAGAATTTCATGACCCATTTTATACCTGCAATGTGTGCTGTGTTATTTGGTGCCTTTATGAATTTTTTTGTTATTGTTTAAATGAGATAAAGGTGCACGTATAGTATTACACAAGTGTGAAGTACTACAGTTACTCCAACAAACTGATAGAAGTTTATAGATGTGTAACAGAGCACTTTCATTGATGCTGTTGGCAGATTCTGTGAAGCAGCAATGTCTGTGACATACACGTCAGCACACATTGCCTGTAAACAAGGAAGGCCTGTCTCAGACTGGGGCTGAGGGAATTGAATCCTCACTTGAGTGCTCTGAGAGGCCAAGATCAAAGGCACTTTTAAGCATATCATATAATTATCATCATTAAGAAGCATGAGGCGAGGAGTCCTAAACTCCCAAATTTTCAAAGCAACAAAAGCAGCACAGCTTTAATGGGACTTTGAAGTCAGATAAATCTCCAGGTATTTTCATTATAGAAACTCACAACCAATTAAGGAAAACCCTATCTGGGCCCGTGTTTAATTATGTTTGCCTGTGTCATGTACTGTGTTCTGAAAGTAAAGGGGTGTCAACTGGATTGTACCAAAAGACTGTGCTGGGACCAGCCAACAGCATTCATTTTTAACAAAGCATGGCAGGGCAGGTTTCTGACGCTTTTTTGTCTAAATAAATAAGTTCTTAATAAGCACTGATGATTTTAATAGTCCACATAGCTCAAAGGTTAGCTGGAACTTTCTCTACAAATTTCACAGCTGTTTTATATTAGCAGGTAATGTACCAAATCATCTACACAGAAAAATGTTGGACAAATTCTGTCTGGTGACTAAGTACAGACATATAGCCTTGAATACATCACCCAGAGAGGCTGCTTATGTAAAAGACAGACCAGAACTCAACCACCCAATAACCAGAGCTTGCCTAAAGACACTATTTTTAACACACAGAAGATGGACCACATTGTAGTTTTTTAAAATAATGTACAGCATTTGAAAATTAGAAAACATAGGGATTGCTAGTGATCCTTAGAATATTGGAAGGTCTGACATCATAGGACCGGCATGGCAACCACGGGTCATTTTTGTTTAGGAGAGAAGTTGACCAATTCCCCACAAAGCTAACCACTATAAGTGAATAAACAAAGCATAGTACATTCATATAATGGAGTTTTATTTAGCCATAAAAGAATAAAGCACTGGTACATGTTACAACTTGAATGAACCTTGAAAATATTTTGCTATGTGAAAGATGGCAAACACAAGAAGCCACATATTGTATGATTCCATATTTATGAAATGTCCAAAAAAAGGAAAATCTGTAGTGATAGAAAGCATATCTGTGGTTGCTAAGGACTGGGAGAAGGGGAAATGGGGAACAATTGCTTGATGGGTACAGATTTTTCATCTCGGTGACAAAAATTTCCAGAACTAGGGTGCTGAGGGTTATACAGTTTTGTGTATGTACAAAATGCCTCTGAATTGCACACTTTAAAATGACTAAAATGATAAGCTTTTTGTTGTGTTTATCATCATAAAAAAGCAAATCATAACCTCCTTGTCCTCATAACAGTAAGATACTGGGAAGAAGTGAAAGATTCAGGGAGGTCCATGTGCCTTTCCTGGTAGAATGCCCTCGTCCCTGGTCTGACGAAAGAGAATGGTACCTAGTTGCTCCAGGACCTCTATCTGCCCCACTTCTGGGGTGGCAAAGTTTTCTATGAACAGCTTCCCACATGTAGCTAGGTCCTAAGCTTGGTTTCCAACAACATCCCCATCAGTACTTGCAGGTGGATGGCTTCTCTGTAAATATCCATTTGATCATGCAGGGATTCCGAGGCCCTCCCAGAATACTGTTTGTGGAAGATATCTTGGATCTGTCATTCTTTCTGCAGCTAGCTTATCCCAAATTCTATGTCTTACCCTTTTGCTGGTCCCATCCTCAACCAGGCCAGGGTGGAGAACTTCTTACACAGGGGCCCCTCCATTAGAACCACATATATCTCCCCTTCCTCCTAAACAGTGGCTCCAAAATGATTAAATTGCAAGAATGTATCATTTACTTAGCATTCACTTTACATTTGTTTCCTCATTTAATATTAAATTATTGTTACCAGGTGGTTATGTAAGTAGACTATAATAGCCCAAACCTTCCAGTGCCCTTTAGCTACTCAAGACAGAAGCTGATATGCAGAAGAAATCCTAAAAATCTCACCAGATATCCTCTGAATGTCTCTTGGGGAGATATGTCAAGCTGTTCTGGGACCTGAGGTGGCTCGTACTGAGTGGCACCAGGACATATGAAGTGAGCAGCTGCGTCTTGCATGATGGTTTGAGCTAGAGTGAAAACACCCACCTGCAGATCAGTCCCTTCCATGACAATGTCACCTGGGTCAGGGATTAGCAAGGGATGACTGTGGATGCTGGTGCTCTCACAGTGGTGAGCTCCTGGGCCAAGAAGGCTTCACCTGTCTTCCTTCTAGGATTCCATTCCTATGTTAGATCCAGTCTATAGGCCCTGGTTTGAAGACAACCATAACTTCACAGGGCAAATTTTTAAGAACTTGCATTGTGGCCATCAGGACCAGATTCGTAATCCAAATACTGTGAACACAATTACTTTGCTATATTACTCCCTTTCCCAGACCCTCTCTACATTATTTACAAAGTGAATTTTCAGAGTGGAAAAATTATTATATCAAACTAATCATAAGTTCCTTCATCAGGCTTCCTATTTCATGAAAGTTCCCTAATCAGTTCTCAGGTTTGCTTGACTTACCAACAAGTTCTCTGACCTGCTTTTTTCCTTTTGCTTTGCCTTTACACATCATGCATTCTATCAGCTTCTTCACTACCCCATTCACAGTACATTCATTGAATGGCATCCATTCCACACTGACATGTGTGCCGGGCGCTGGGAATATTGTAGGACATGCTCCCCTCCTTGAAGGGCAGCAGAGTCTAGAAGAGGAAAAAGACCCAGAAACAAAAACACAGCACAAAATTGTCCTGCAGACAGAAGACAATGCTGTGTCAAGGAGAGAGCGGCTCTGAGACCTGGAAATCTGGGAGAACATCCCACAGCACGCAGCTCCCTGGCTGTGTCCTGCTTATCCACCTTGTAAAAGCCACTGAAAAATCACATCCCTAACCTTTGCAAAGGCTTCATTTGTTCTGAAATGTTTTCAAATACTCAACACATGGTAAATAGAACCCCCACACCTTAATATTTTTGTGTCTATTTTTGTTTTATTTTTTAAAATTTTTCTCTACAGGCTTTAGTATAATTAAAGCTTGAATTTGAGTCTCTCTTCTGCCCTTTACTCGCCCTATTGTGTGGAACAAATGACCCAAACTCCATGAGTCTCAGTGTCTGCTTGTGGAACAGATGAGGTAATGCTCACCTCACCTGGCTAGCTTAATAGAGGGATCAATAGAATATGCTGAGAATGGGCTGAACAGATGTCAGGATTCTACAGGTTGCACCTGTAAATATTTCTGTTATCTTTACATTTCAGAAGAGAAGCTGGGATACAAATCCTATGCCTAACTATATCCTGATTGCCATAGGATTTTGTAAAAATACATTACTTTATCCAAACCCCAGATTCTTAGAAATGAATGTGCCACTTCTAATACAATCAGTAGGTCTTTTACAGGATTTCAAAATTTGCCTTCTAGCAGGATTCCAAGAGCTGCAGCTCATTGTGGCCAAAGGACCTCCTAATGCATGCAAGAACAATCCAGAGAGATTCTGACAGCTTGGGTCAAATCATATCTGCTGCTACAATGTGCCTAATAATGTAAAAAGAAAAGAAGCTGCCTCTCTAGTCTATAAAAGTGTGCTCTCATGACATGTCCCATTGTTCTTTTGTTTATAGCTGCATCAACCAACCCATCATAACAAATTTAGATCAGACTATGATGTCTCTAAATAATCACCCAGAGGAATATTCCATGACCAAAATGAGAGAAAAATAAAAACAATAATGAGCATATTTTAAAAACCCAAAACATCTCCATACAATGTTATTTTAGGGCCAGGCTCAGCAGATTACTTAGTATAGGTTTTAGTAAAAAGTGTAAATAATGTAGAAAAAGTTTGGAGAGAGAAAGAACATCATGTGTTGAAGGTTTCAAAAGATGTTGGGCCTGCATGTTTTTGTAAAGAAACATCTGTCAGAGTTTATGAACATGAGCACTTGAGGGTACACTTGTTTCATGTAGGAAGAGGTTGTGAAGTCAAAGCCCCCATGCTAATTAAACTGAAGCAAGAATTCCTGGGAGAAGCAAGAATTTAGCTGAGGGCCTGATGCTATTTTGATGTCAACTCACAAACTTCTGGATATTAATGAGACCCCACCATTTCAGAGCAGTTACATTCAATGAATTTAATCAAAACATCCATCAGAATGTTCCCTATTCTAGGATGTCACCCAAGACTGCTGCATTTTGGAGCAACTTTGTCTGTGAGTGAGTGCACTACTTCAGAGATCAGAGTCCTCTGGGGTTTTACTAATTCCTGCTAACCTATGGTGGATCTCAACTGACTGGCGAATCTATCCGTGGTACTTGAGACATCTTGTATTTCTACTTTCTGTATCAGCACCAAAAGCATGGAACCCCAAACATAGTTTTTTAATGCTGTGATTGCCTTGAAAATTTTCAGGTGGAAATGTGACAGTTCTTTCAATTCTCACAATCAAACTACTTGATCAGTTCCAGCCAAAGACAGTTCTCAATCCTACATGGAGTGAGCATCTCATTGCTGGCTGCCCCACCAGTCTTTACCCGAGTTCCAATGGTGATTGGGAAACAAATGGCACAGTGAGGCAGCTGCATGCTTCATTACCTAAGAACTAACAGCTTCTCTAGAATTTAGTTGGAGGCAAGAACACCAGCCTTGTATATGCACCTAAATTTGACAGTTATTGACACTGAGAGTTGTTGAGCTGGGGTCAGAATTGCCTGAAAGGAAATAAGAACTGGACTTCAATATATAACATTTCTTGCGGCAGCAATTAGCATAGCTTTACTGTTTGCTTAGGGGTTTTCTGAGGCCTGTTTGATGGAAGGAGAGTGATTTTGCAGGGTCTCTGCCAACTGTATGATTTTTATACATCTACAATCAGGTAGAACAACATACATAACTAGTCTCCCTAGAAGACGTCTGATCGTTCCAACTTGGCTAGAACAGTGTAAAGAGCTCCTTTTCCTGATTGTTTTCTGGGTGAGAACAAGCACAGGCCATGGAAGCTGTGCAGATGAAGGCTGACTTTAGGGTAAGGAGTCATATGGCCCCTGTACCTCCAGGAAAGGTGCTATTCAGTTCAGATTCTGAAAGGTGTGAGGGCTCCTGTTTCACTGCAGCTGGTGTGCTCGTATCCAGCCAGCCCTGATCAGGAAAGCAAGAGCCTTCAGCCAAGTCTGAAACCTACTCAGCCCCCGTGGGATTTGAGTTTAGCTCTTTTATAACAACATTTTGATGAGTTGTGTGTAAATGAATCAGAAACATATGGATTCGATTTCCCTTGAAGTGTACGTGGGTTTAAAAATTAAGGGGAAAAAATGTGTGGAGTTTGGGTACGTATCAAAGGCGAAATGTTTAAAAAATAATGCAAGACACTTTGCAGAAAAGACAGCAGGGCTTCCTTCTAGAAGTGCAGTGATGGCAGCAGGCTGAGGGGCGAGTCCTGAGACTCTGAAGTTAACACATGTGTACTGGCCCTGGCCTTCCTGCAATGTTCTGGGATCCCATGAGCGACGCCCAGCAAATGAAAAGCAGACACTGGCCACCAGGGAGGCCACATCATATCTGGGCTGAAAATTAAATTGCCAGCAAACGGAAGAGATTTTCAAACAAGGTACTTGCACTTTCTTTTTAAGTTAATTTAATACTAAATGGAAGACAGTCTGCCGACCGAGATAGAAACTGAAGCACAGAAATATAAACTGTGAATTGTCTTTTCTGAATCCCAGAGGTTGTCAGGGCCAGAGGTCATGAACATCAGTGAAAGAGCTGGTTTTGAATTGAAACTTACCCATGGGAGAGCCCTGGTTCCTAAATTCATTCATTCACGAAACATTTACTGAGTACCTTCTGTGTCCCCAGTGCTGTTCTCAGAATCAGAAACAAAAATAAATAAATAAAATAACACAAGAGAAACTGTTGCTACCTTCAGGGAGCTTTTGGTTTTTACCAGGGCCATGATTAATATGCAAATTAGTGCCCCAGTTGGTCTGGTTACTGAGACAGAAGGACACACAGGACACTGGGGGTGTGACTCAGCAGGGATGGTTAGCTCTGTGTCAGAAGAGGGCAAATGAGGAAAGGTTTATGGGAAAGGTCAATGAGGGAGAGATTATGCTCTGAGGTCAGCCCCCGACACTGAAGGATACAGACAGCAGTTTATTAGTCACACATACTCAGAGGCCAGGCAAGGGAAACACTGCATGTCATGCAAGGTCACACGGTGCTTGCACTCTGGAATAGAAGGACTAGGAGCTATGAAAGGCCTTATAATAGTGCAAGGATGAGGGCCCCCCAGGTTGGCACAGGAGGATGTGACTGACTTTTTTGAGTAATTGGCAGGGAACTGGATCTACTACTCCTAGGGATAAGCAGCAGGACTGACCTTGGCTGGATGACCATATCCAGAGGAGGTGGGGACTGAGGGTTAGGCCATTGGAGGCCTTCCCAGCCTCACCAGATGTCATGGCAGCACCTCATAATGGACCTTAATTTTAAGCCTAAACTCCAGAAATATTTGAGGCAAGTATCGAAAAATGAGTGAGTGGGCTTTCCTTATATGGCTGGCCAAGAGTACACTGGCATTCCAAGCAGAGGAACAAGAGCAAAGATCCAAACACAAAAAGCAGCCTGGAAAATTAGCTAAATATTTTGAAAAAAGAAACAAGAACTTCTTTCCACAAATTTGGGGAAATTTAAGGACAATCTGTCCTTAAAGTTTAAACTATTTAAATATTAAAAGTAATGAAAGTTGTTAATTTAGATCAGCACTGTCCAGTAGAAATGTAATGTGTGCCAGAAATATGAGCTCCTTATGTGGTTTCAAGTTTTTAACACTCATAAAAAATGAAAAGAAATAAGTGAAATTAATTTTATTACTTGACCCAATACATCAAAAATCTTAACCATTTTAACAGGAAACAACAAAATATTAACAAAATATTTACATTCTTTATTCCATACTCTTTGAAATCCAATATGTATTTTTTTATAATTACAGCATACATCAATTTGGACTAGCCACACATTTCAAACGCTCAATACTCGCATTTAGCTGATGGCTACCATGTTGGACAGCACAGATTAAAAGCACCTTGAATTGGCTGAAATTCAGCACAAAATGCTATCGTGCTTTTTTTCTCCATCTGTTTTATTGTGACAATCTATCTTTAAATATTCTTATGGGCTCTCCACCTCTCAGTACAATTATTTTCTCTTCTGGCTAAACCCAAATATTACTGTTATCTTAAAAACACCACTACCTAAAAATTCACATTTCATACCGTGCTATATTTGGCTATATGACTTAGTTTCGTTTTTGACAGAGAACGATAGGGGAAAGAGCTAAGAAAGATGATGTGGAGATAGAGATCTTGTTTTCACTTTGATCCTAGTGTTTTGAAACAACTAAAAAATTAAGGTATGTTCTTTAAAATGTGAACTGTAATCTAATAGGAAATTGTACTCAATATATACAGTGTTCAAAACAAGGAAATAGAAGGAAGCTGTGATTTAGCCTAGTAATGACAAGAGGCACATTGATAAATCAAGACACAATTTACAGATAGTTAAAATACTTGCAAGGCAATTTTTAAAAAGCTCTCCTAGAAATTAACTAATAAAAATGCACCATAGAACATAGTATGGGCTAAACCAACTTCATTTTCCATTGGGACACAGTTGAATAGCTTTTTTTCTGATCATATAAAAGGTCCCTTGCTTGATTAATTATTTTCCCATGGAACGTGTGCACTTCAGTCTGAAAATTCCTCCAACCCATCAGTTTAAATTTTATCTTTGACACGTGTTAGGCAAATAGAAAAAATTAAAAAGTAATGAGGAGGGGGCCCAACTGCTTTGAGAAATTTCCACATATGTGCTAATTAGTGATTCCATCTGAAAATACTCACCAAAAGCTGGATGAGTATAGCAGGCTGGAATAAATAATGCAAAGACCCTGTGGCAGTGCCACAGACACCATAATGAAGGCTGCTTGTGAGTTCCAAGAGAGTTTCCTAGTGTCTTAGCTGAGAATAAAAACATCATGAAGTAAAACTGCTCTAACAACCTCAGGGTTATCACATACACACACACACACACACACACACACACACACACACACACCATTTTATTCTTTCAACCTTTTGGTTCAGGCTAAGCAACTCTTTCAGGGTTTATGTCTCACTCGCCCTTCACTTTTAGGTCTTTTTTACATATATATAAAGTGAAATTGCATTTCTTACATCCAGCTTATAGTGCTGCTGAAATGTTCAAACACTGGTCCAGTTACATAAGCACATGGGGATGATTAGCTGTGAAATAAGGCATTAGTCCACAGGCTAAACTACCAGATGAAATACTCTCCAATTACAGGGACTGCAACCTCTGTAAGTCCCTTTTGTGAAATGACAAGCCTGCTACTTTAGTCTTCTGATACAATGCCCAACTGTGTTTTTTAAGTACAACTGAGTTTCATCAACTGGACCAGAAACACTGCTGGCTGAAATGCATTCTGAAAAGTCGGTGGAAAAATAACACTAGTAGCTCCATAAAT